AGGTTCTCAGGCATCCAGGACATGGTAGTCTGAGGAGCTTGGAAAGAAAGTGACTGGGCTTCTTGAAGTTTCTTGAATTTTCAGAATGTGAAACTGAAATAGAAGATGTGTCAGAGGACTACACATCTTCCATTTCAATTATGATGAAGACAAAGAATCAAGCAAGAAAGAGGAGTCAGCTGAGACAGAGGAATATTTGCAGTAATGTGAGGAAACATTGATCTGGTCTTCTATTCTTCCCAGTGACAGACGATGCATGACTCTCTCATGCGTCACAGAGAAAGACAATCTACCACGGTCCAAGCACATATGCCAGGTCCCATACTCCTTCGATTGCTTTTCTACTCGAGTACTGAAAGCATTATACACCATGTATTTGGCTTGTATTATGCTTTTTAACTTTCACATGCCAATGGATGCATCAGAGACCAAGTTGGGGTTCAGTAACTTGCCCAAGGACACCTTGGTTAGAACTCCAGACTAGAGCACACAGAGATTGAACCAACAACCATCCAATTAGCAGATGACCTGCTCTACAGCCAACTCAATGACGAACAAGGAAGGACAACGAGAGAGGAAGAAAAATGGATCGAATGCAGCTGTAGGCATATGTGGGTATGTTGATTCTTACTGCCGTGCATCCAGTAGAGTCGCTACGGCCAGTTTATGACATCCTGAGTCTGGTAGAGAAGTTTTAAAGGTGACACAAGATTAAACAGAGAAGCACAAAAGTGATATCATTTCATGATAAAGACACAATAGAAGATCGTCGTTCATGACACAAACGTGCTCCCATGAGGTGTATGGAACAAGTGGGTGTTTCTCCTGCTGTGATGTTAGATCCAGGTACTGGTGTGACTGTGTATGAGTGCCTAGTCCCCTTCAGAGGACTCTGTCCATTCCAACAGAGCATCCCAAGTAAACCGAGGAACTATGAGATAAAAACATGGGCAGTATGTGATGCAGGTCCAGCTGTACATGGAACATGCTAGAGTACGATGGCAAACTATCTGGCCTGCAGTCAGGGCACACAAGTTGTCTCTAACATTACAGAAGGTTTTCAAAAGAAAACAATCACCAGTAACACCTTGTTTACTTCATATGCCCTTGGCCTGCAACTGCAGAAAAAGAAAGCTGTCCATGATGGGACCAGTACAGAGGAATAAACCTGAGCTTCCTCCTGCACTTGTGTCAGATATGGACACGCCTTTGTTCTCATGAAAGTTTGCCTTCACTAAGACCCATGCCCTGGTGTTCCTACCATGCCAAAACATAGAAAAATGTCAGGTAATGAGTTGGAATAAAGTTGAATAAAACCTTGAAACACAGAGATGGATGATATTTTATACCTTTTCTTTATAAATAGTCAAACCAGACGGGGTCATTTTTTAGCCCAAAGGACAACAGATGTGATTATTTGCTGCCAGTAAATAAAAAAGTAGTTTTAAAACAGCTTTCTAAATTAACTTTGGCATATACCCGTCTGTGATTATCTGTTAAAGCAACCGACTCTGGTTGTGAAATGACAATCACAATAACTGATCATTATTTTTTACACAAAAACAAAGGAAAAGCTCATTTAAATGAGGTTTTATCAGACTTAAAAAAGAAATAGTGTCAAAATGTTTGAATTAAGTTTTAATTAAAAGTGGGTGAAAAATCCACTTCATATTAATTAAGTATCAATCAAACCAGATGGGGTCATTTTTGACCCCTGAGGACGACAGGTGTATGGAAATCGGGAGGGTTAAATTTAAATTGCTTCACCTACTGTGAAGCATTACCTTTTATTTCAGTGGTCAACAGGACAAAATAAACTACATGAACAGAATATCCCATCAAATCTCTTTTACTCTTTTTAAAAAAGACAAAACAGCATTTTCCCCTGGAAGTTACTTCTACCATCGCCTTTGCTGTTGCAAAATTCTGCCAAAATTCTGTCCAATTCAGAATTCTTTCAATTCTTTTCCAAGCCCTTCTCTATGCATACCACCGTCCATCACTGTAAACTGAACCACAACACAGCAGTCCCAGTTTAGCCTGCGCTAACTAACTACCCATGTACTTCTTAATAACATGAAATTATTATAATGTAATTTGTTTTTAAAGACATTTCACAATATGAAATAACCAGATATCGCAAGCAGCACTTTGTGTACACATCCACTGTCTGACTACTTCAATCTAACACGGAGTTTCCCATTGTTGCTGCTTTGTAAAATGTCTGTTGCTGAGCAGTTCTTACCTCTGAAGAATAATCTCTTGTCTTCCTCTCTTGACCTCTTTGTCTTACATCTCTCTCTGAGAGTGAATTTATTACACGCTGCTTTTTTTAAATGTGGAAACTGCAGCTACAGCAACCGTGGCTTCCCTGTTTTTTAAAGCCTGTGCAGAACAATTTGTGACATTGGTGATATTTGTTGACCTGTGAGAAATTACCTGCAACTTTAAAAAATAAGTTACTCCTCTTATGCTCACTCCCCACTGCCTGCTGCAGACCGAATCATCAAATAGTTAATAGCTCATTTGTGCATGTGAAGTCAGCAGGTTACCATCAGTAACGTTAAATGCTTCACTGTGGGGGGGGGGAATAGCATCTAAATGACTGATTCTTCCACTCTATTCCTTTTTTTGTCTTAGTATCACAGTGACTCTTTTTCTTAATATTACATTTGACTTTAATCACAATTCTTTCTTTCTTAATAGATCCCTGCCTCCAGGATTCAGTGTTTTTTCAGCATCATCCATTGATCCGTTCTCTTTCACTCATCCTTGACAGGGTCACGGGGGCGGGGGCTGGAGCCTGTCCCAGGTGTCTTAGAGCGAGAGGCAGGGTACACCCTGGACAGGTCGCCAGTCTGTTGTAGGGCTAACACATAGAGACAGACAACCACTCACACTCATATCCACACCTATGGGCAATTTAGAATCACCAATTATCCTAACCCCACTAACTGCATGTCTTTGGACTGTGGGAGAGAACCCACGTCGACTCCACACAGAAAGACCCTGATGGTGGGATAGAACTCAGGACCTTCTTGCTATGAGGCAACAGTGCTATTTTACAGCACTCTAAATTCAGGATTTTCTTTTCTTTCTTTGTTTTAAGGTTTGTCATCATGGGACCATGTTAAAAGACAATACTGGATGTCTTTTTGAAAGATACATGAAGCTTAAAAGCACTTAAATTATGAAGATTTATGTTACATTCAGGCTGTCTGTGAAGAAATGTGTAAAATAATGGTTTTTAAAAGTCAGATTTGAGTATCAGTCATTTTTAAATGGAAATCACTAATATAATAAAAATAATCTCAAGATATTGCTTCATTAAAAATTTTTCATTTACTACTGTAAAAACTATGCTTTCTTTAATTCAGTGTAGATATGCTGAGAGAAAGTCATCCAAATGTATCTATGCATGTATTTCTAACAGATTTGGATCAGCATGTGGGAGTAAAAAGGGCAGCGCAGCACAGGTAGTTTGTTCATCTTGTCACAAAAGATACAAAAA